CCACCACAGCTGTGCCAACTACCACCATAGCTTACAGGTGTGCCAACAACAACCACAGCAGCCTCGGGTACCACCACAGGTGCACCAACTGCCACAGGAGCCACAACTACCAACAGAACAGCAGCTGCAACTACCACCACAGTTGCACCATCAACCACCACAGCAGCCATAACTACCACCACAACTTCACCAACTACAACAACAGCAACCTCAACAACCACCACAGGTGCACCAACTACCACAGCAGCCCCCACTATCACCACAACAGCAGCTGCAACTACCCCCACAGTTGCACCTATAACCGCTATAGCTGCAGCAACAAGCACCACAGGTACGCCATCAACCACCACAACAGCCACAACTACCACTACAACTTCACCAACTACAACAACTGCAACTTCAAAAACCACCACAGCTGCACCATCAACCACGACAGCATCCCCCACTACCACCACCGGTGCACCAACAACTACAGTAGGCACAACTACCACCACAGCTGCAACACCTACCACAACAGCAACCTCAACAACCACCACAGCTGCTCCAACTACGAACACAGCAGCAGCAACTACCAACACAAATACACCAACTACAACTACAGTAGCACCAGCAACCACGACAGCTGTACCAACAACAACCACTACTGTGCCAACTACCACCACAGCTGCAACAACAACTACAGCAGGCACAACTACCACCATAGCTGCAACACCTACCACAACAGCAACCTCAACAACCACCACAGCTGTGCCAATATCAACCTCCACTGGGCCAACAACTACCACAGGTGCACCAACAACATTGACAGCTGTCTCAACTACCCCCACAACTTCACCAACTACAACAAAAGCAACCTCAACAACCACCACAGCTGTGCCAATATCAACCTCCACTGGGCCAACAACTACCACAGGTGCACCAACAACATTGACAGCTGTCTCAACTACCCCCACAACTTCACCAACTACAACAAAAGCAACCTCAACAACCACCACAGGTGCACCAGCAACCACAATAGCTGCAGCAACAACCACCACATCTGTGCCGACAGCCACCACATCAGTGCTAACAACCACAGTTGCGCCATCTATCACCACAGCTGTGCCAACTACCATCACACCAACGGCAACTACCATGACAGTAACGCGAACTACCATGACAACAGCCCAAACTATCACCAAAGTAGCACCAACAACCACAACTGCAGTGCCAACTACCACCACAGCAGCACCAACTAACAAAACAGCTGCACCAACTGCTACTACAGCTCACCAACAACCAACACAACAGCAGCAACTACCAACACAAATGCACCAACTACAACTACAGTAGCACCAACAACCATGACAGCTCTGCCAACAACAACAACCACTGCACCAACTACCACCACAGCTGCACCAACAACCACCACAGCAGCCCCAGCTGTCCCAACTCCCCCCATAGCTTCACCAATAACCACCACAGGTGTGCCAACAACAACCACAGCAGCCTCAGGTACCACCACAGGTGCACCAACTGCCACAGCAGCCACAACTACCAATACAACATCAGCTGCAACTACCACCACAGTTGCACCATCAACCACCACAGCAGCCATAACTACCACCACAACTTCACCAACTACAACAATAGCAACCTCAACAACCACCACAGGTGCACCAACTACTACAGCATCTGCAACTACCACCATAATAGTGTCAAAGACCACCACAGTTGCACCAACTACCACCACAGGTGCACCAACAAGCACCACAGGTACACCAACAACCACAACAGCAGCCATAACTACCACCATAGCTTCACCAACAAGCAAGACAGATGCAACTACCACCACAGCAACCTCAACAGCTGAACCACCAACCACTACACCAGCCCCAACTAACACCACAGCTGCGCCAGCAACCACCACAGCAGTGCCAACTACCACCACAGCAGCCCCATCTACCAACACAGCAGCACCAACAACCAGCACAGCTGCAGCAACAACCACCACATCAGCCCCAACTACCACCACAATAGTGTCAACTACCACCACAGCAGCAGCCCCGACGAGTACAGCAGCCCCATCTACCACCACAGCTTCGTCAACTACCACCACAGCAGCACCAACAACCACCACAACCCCCCACAGCACCCCAAACCCCCCCCACACCAGCACCCACAACTACCACAGCTGCACCAACAACCACCACAGCAGCCCCAATTTTCAAGACATCTGAACAAACTACCACCACAGCAGCACCAACAATCAGCACAATTGGGCCAACTACAACAACAACTGCGACAACAACCACCACAGCTGCACCACCCCCCCACCCAAAACACCCACCACAATGGGGCGAACTACCACAACAGCTGCACAAACAACCACCACAGCAGCCCCAACAACCACCACAACAGAGCCAACTACCACCACAGCTGCACCAACTACCGCCACAGCTGTGACAACTATCACTACAGCAGCCCCAAATACCACTACATTTGCGCAAACAACAGCCACTTTAGCCACAACAACAACCACAGCTGTGCCAACAACTACAAAAGCAGCCCCAACAACCACCAAAGCTGTGCCAACTACCACCACAACAGCACCAGCAACCACCACAGTACCACCCCCCACAGCAGCGCCAACTACCGACACAGTAGCATCAAGTACCACCACAGCTGCGCCAACAACCACCCCAATAGTGCCAACAACCACCACAGCTGTGCCAACAACCACGACAGCAGCTGCAACTACAACCACAGCAGCACCAATTACAATCAAAACCGTGCAAAATACAACCACAGCAGCACCAACCACCACCATTGCGCCAACAACATTGACAGGAACGCCAACAACCGTGAATGCAGTGCAAACTACCACCACAGGTGTTCTATCTACACCCACAGTAACACCAACAACCACGACAGCAGCACCATCTACCCCCACAGCAGCTGCAACAACCATGAAAGCAGCGCCAACATTTACAACTGTAGCACCAATGACTGCAACACCAACTACCAAGCTGCCCCAACAACCACAGCTGCCCCAACTACTACCACAGCAGCCCCAACAACCACAGCTGTGCCAACTACTACCACAGCTGCGCCATCAACTACGACAGCAGCCCCAACTACCACCACAGCAGCTACAATGACAACCAAAGCTCTGCCAAAAACCACCACAATAGTGCCAACTACCACCACAACAATGCCAAACAACACAACCGTGCCAACAACCCCCACAGCAGCCCCATTAACCGCCACAGCAGCCACAACTACCACCACAATAGTGCCAACTACCACCACAACAATGCCAAACAACACAACCGTGCCAACAACCCCCACAGCAGCCCCATTAACCGCCACAGCAGCCACAACTACCACCACAGCTGTGCCATCAACCACAATAGCAGCAACAACTAACACCACAGCAGCCGCAACTACAACAGCTGCACCAACTATCACCGCAGCTGGGACAACAATCACCACATCAGCACCAACAATGACGACAGCTGCGCTAACAACCTCCATAGCTGCCGGAAGTGCAACCACTGTTGTGCCAACTACCACCACAGCTGTGCCAACAACCACCAGAGCAGACACAACAACCACAGCTGCACCAACTTCCACCACAATAGTGCCAACTACCACCACAACAGTGTCAACCACCACAGCTGTGCCAACTACAAACACAACTGTGCCAAGAACCACCACAGCACGCCAACAACCAATGCAGCACTGCCAGCAACCACCACAGCCGTGTCAACTACCACCACAGCTGCGCCAACTACGACAGCAGCCACAACTACCACCACATCAGCCACAAGAACAATCACAGCTGCGCCAATGACCACCACATCAGCGCCAACCAGCACAGCTGTTCCAACAACCACCACAGCTGCATCAACTATCACAACAGAGGCGCCAACTACCGTGACCTCAGTTCCAACTACCACAACCTCAACGCCTTTAACTACGACCTCAGCAGCCCTAAATGCCACGACTGCAGCCCCAACTACCATGAACTCAACCCCTATAACTATGACCTCAGCAGCCCCGAATGCCATGACAGGAGCTTCAATTACCACGAATGCAGCCACAACCACCACAACTGCAGCCCCAACTATTGTGACTGCAACACCAAGTACCACCACAGCAGCCTCCACTACTAGCGCAGCCGCACAAACTACTGCTGCTGCTGGTGCCCAGACAAGTACTACTGCTTCCCAGACAAGTTCTACTACTGCTGCTGGTGCCCAGACAACTACTACCACTTCCCAGACAAGTACTACGGCAAAACCAGTGACCACAGCTGCTCAGACAACAACTAATGTTTCTCAGACAAGTAGTACTACTGTACAGAGAAGTAGTACTGCTGCTGCTGGTGCCCAGACAAGTACCACTGCTGCTCAGACAAGTACTACTACTGCTGCTGGTGCTCGGACAACTACTACTACTTCCCAGACAAGTACTACTGCATCACCAGTGACCACCGCTGCTCAGACATCAACTAATGCTGCTCAGACAACTAGCATTACTGCTGCTGGTGCCCAGACAAATACTACTACTACTGCTAGTGTCCAGACAACTACTACTACTTCCCAGACAAGTACTACGGCATCACCATTGGCCACAGCTGCTCAGACATCAACTAATGCTGCTCAGACAACTAGCATTACTGCTGCTGGTGCCCAGACAAATACTACTACTACTGCTAGTGTCCAGACAACTACTACTACTTCCCAGACAAGTACTACGGCATCACCATTGGCCACAGCTGCTCAGACATCAACTAATGCTGCTCAGACAACTAGCATTACTGCTGCTGGTGCCCAGACAAATACTACTACTACTGCTAGTGTCCAGACAACTACTACTACTTCCCAGACAAGTACTACGGCATCACCATTGGCCACAGCTGCTCAGACATCAACTAATGCTGCTCAGACAACTAGCATTACTGCTGCTGGTGCCCAGACAAATACTACTACTACTGCTAGTGTCCAGACAACTACTACTACTTCCCAGACAAGTACTACGGCATCACCATTGGCCACAGCTGCTCAGACATCAACTAATGCTGCTCAGACAACTAGCATTACTGCTGCTGGTGCCCAGACAAATACTACTACTACTGCTAGTGTCCAGACAACTACTACTACTTCCCAGACAAGTACTACGGCATCACCATTGGCCACAGCTGCTCAGACATCAACTAATGCTGCTCAGACAACTAGCATTACTGCTGCTGGTGCCCAGACAAATACTACTACTACTGCTAGTGTCCAGACAACTACTACTACTTCCCAGACAAGTACTACGGCATCACCATTGGCCACAGCTGCTCAGACATCAACTAATGCTGCTCAGACAACTAGCATTACTGCTGCTGGTGCCCAGACAAATACTACTACTACTGCTAGTGTCCAGACAACTACTACTACTTCCCAGACAAGTACTACGGCATCACCATTGGCCACAGCTGCTCAGACATCAACTAATGCTGCTCAGACAACTAGCATTACTGCTGCTGGTGCCCAGACAAATACTACTACTACTGCTAGTGTCCAGACAACTACTACTACTTCCCAGACAAGTACTACGGCATCACCATTGGCCACAGCTGCTCAGACATCAACTAATGCTGCTCAGACAACTAGCATTACTGCTGCTGGTGCCCAGACAAATACTACTACTACTGCTAGTGTCCAGACAACTACTACTACTTCCCAGACAAGTACTACGGCATCACCATTGGCCACAGCTGCTCAGACATCAACTAATGCTGCTCAGACAACTAGCATTACTGCTGCTGGTGCCCAGACAAATACTACTACTACTGCTAGTGTCCAGACAACTACTACTACTTCCCAGACAAGTACTACGGCATCACCATTGGCCACAGCTGCTCAGACATCAACTAATGCTGCTCAGACAACTAGCATTACTGCTGCTGGTGCCCAGACAAATACTACTACTACTGCTAGTGTCCAGACAACTACTACTACTTCCCAGACAAGTACTACGGCATCACCATTGGCCACAGCTGCTCAGACATCAACTAATGCTGCTCAGACAACTAGCATTACTGCTGCTGGTGCCCAGACAAATACTACTACTACTGCTAGTGTCCAGACAACTACTACTACTTCCCAGACAAGTACTACGGCATCACCATTGGCCACAGCTGCTCAGACATCAACTAATGCTGCTCAGACAACTAGCATTACTGCTGCTGGTGCCCAGACAAATACTACTACTACTGCTAGTGTCCAGACAACTACTACTACTTCCCAGACAAGTACTACGGCATCACCATTGGCCACAGCTGCTCAGACATCAACTAATGCTGCTCAGACAACTAGCATTACTGCTGCTGGTGCCCAGACAAATACTACTACTACTGCTAGTGTCCAGACAACTACTACTACTTCCCAGACAAGTACTACGGCATCACCATTGGCCACAGCTGCTCAGACATCAACTAATGCTGCTCAGACAACTAGCATTACTGCTGCTGGTGCCCAGACAAATACTACTACTACTGCTAGTGTCCAGACAACTACTACTACTTCCCAGACAAGTACTACGGCATCACCATTGGCCACAGCTGCTCAGACATCAACTAATGCTGCTCAGACAACTAGCATTACTGCTGCTGGTGCCCAGACAAATACTACTACTACTGCTAGTGTCCAGACAACTACTACTACTTCCCAGACAAGTACTACGGCATCACCATTGGCCACAGCTGCTCAGACATCAACTAATGCTGCTCAGACAACTAGCATTACTGCTGCTGGTGCCCAGACAAATACTACTACTACTGCTAGTGTCCAGACAACTACTACTACTTCCCAGACAAGTACTACGGCATCACCATTGGCCACAGCTGCTCAGACATCAACTAATGCTGCTCAGACAACTAGCATTACTGCTGCTGGTGCCCAGACAAATACTACTACTACTGCTAGTGTCCAGACAACTACTACTACTTCCCAGACAAGTACTACGGCATCACCATTGGCCACAGCTGCTCAGACATCAACTAATGCTGCTCAGACAACTAGCATTACTGCTGCTGGTGCCCAGACAAATACTACTACTACTGCTAGTGTCCAGACAACTACTACTACTTCCCAGACAAGTACTACGGCATCACCATTGGCCACAGCTGCTCAGACATCAACTAATGCTGCTCAGACAACTAGCATTACTGCTGCTGGTGCCCAGACAAATACTACTACTACTGCTAGTGTCCAGACAACTACTACTACTTCCCAGACAAGTACTACGGCATCACCATTGGCCACAGCTGCTCAGACATCAACTAATGCTGCTCAGACAACTAGCATTACTGCTGCTGGTGCCCAGACAAATACTACTACTACTGCTAGTGTCCAGACAACTACTACTACTTCCCAGACAAGTACTACGGCATCACCATTGGCCACAGCTGCTCAGACATCAACTAATGCTGCTCAGACAACTAGCATTACTGCTGCTGGTGCCCAGACAAATACTACTACTACTGCTAGTGTCCAGACAACTACTACTACTTCCCAGACAAGTACTACGGCATCACCATTGGCCACAGCTGCTCAGACATCAACTAATGCTGCTCAGACAACTAGCATTACTGCTGCTGGTGCCCACAAAGAGGAGCTGGCTCTGACCACCACACCGTCAGTGTGCATTGCACTGAAGTTTATCACAAGAGCCAGTTTTTTTAATAAAGGGTTACTGATGTGGAGCATTTAAAATAGAGTGGCATTTTTGAGGTATCTGAAAAGTGCACCCGGCTCTGAAACTGTTTCTGTGAGTTGTCATAGTCTCCTATCTTCCTATATGCCTTAAAAACAAAGGATCCCTTATTATTACAATTGTTTTTTCAATATAAGCTACAGTTGCTTCAGAAAGGATTTCCACCCATATCTTTTATGAACAATTTACTGTTGTAAATTCATATTGAATCTGAAAAAGTTTCACTTGTCACATGCAAGGAGTGAAGGGTTGGGAGTCCTTTTTGACATGATTGGATCTATGTGGAATTCATAATAGTTGAGAGCTTGACATATTTTAACAACTGCAGGAACTAATGTCAAATCATGATGTGAACAGTCAGACAGTTTTACCGGGAAGAAAGTGACCCATTTTGAGCAAAAAGACATAACAGTGATAAATGTTCAAATTGCAGACATTACTTCATTAATTGCTGAAATGTGCTACGTAATCATTTTAGGACAAGATTGGGAAGTTCTTTAATGTTGCACAGGAAAAACTAAACTTGATTTAATGTCGTTTGGTTGTTGAGGCTAAACTATGAAGAAAAACTAGTGCTAATGTTTGTAGAACTCAGATTCACAGGCTACATTACAGTGTTACCAGTTTGCTGAATTAATGACATGCTTAAGGTCAGGAGTTTAATGAAAGCACCAGTAACTTTTACTGACAGCATTGGACACATTAGTTATGGTTCTATCATTCTGCAAGTGAATTTCTCAATAGTGTCCTTGATTAGCCACTGAATCTTTTTTCAGACAGTCCATAGTTTGTTTTTGCTGCAGGATTCATACATAATAAAATACCATCTCATTTTATTTTCCATGTTGACCACTGAAAAACACTTTGTTGTTGTGCAAAACGCCACAAAGCTACAATAAAGTTAATCATAAATCCCCCAGAGGTTTTTAAATTCGTTCATTAAATTCAAAATTCTCTAGTCAGTCTCTTTGACGTGGCTCATATATGAGCAACACCCATTCAACAGTGTAGTTTTTGGCTGGCAGCAGTAAGTATTCAGAAACTCACATGGCAGGTTTTAAAATACTGATGGTTAATGACACACCAAACCAGCCACACCTTCTCCTAACATGGACGTTATTCATCACTATGCTTAATTTAGTTCAAAGTTATTACAGGTTGCCTTTAAAGTCTGTGTGATATGTCAAAGGTGTGTCAGTCACCTGTTTACAGCTCTGAGAAAGAGAACAAACTGGAACCTACAGTAGTTACAAGTGATCTCACCCTAAGGAGAGTTTTTCCAGGTCCTCCCAAGATCAGTTTTAGAAGAGCTCTCATGTTGCAAGATAGGATTTTATATAGTCATTTTTGTTTTTTTTTGTCATCTTTTGTCATGTTTTGTTTGCTCTGTAGCTTCAGGTCTATTTTTGTACGGCCATCTCTTTCAACAATAGTAGTACTTGGCTTTCTCAGTCTTTGAAATGTACTTATAAATGTGGTTTCTGCAGTCACTCTGCTAACATAAAAGAATGGCAACATTTTTGTGATGACCCATAAGACATATGATATAAAATCCTTCATTAACCGGAAGACTACATTTATCGTATATTGACTATCTTGTACCTGTAGTTGCTTCTACAGTATATAGGTCTCACTGAGAGATGACTAAAAGATAGAGTTTCTGAACATAAAAGGCAACTAAGAAAGGCAACCTGGATTATCTACCTGGGGGATGGTGTGTGTGTGTGTGTGTGTGTGTGTGTGTGTGTGT